ACGTACCCCATAGTTAGCATTGGTTGTACAGGTTGTGAGGCTGAACAGATTTAAACCCCACTCCTGATAAAATGTTAGTTGCTCAGTCGTGTCCAACTCTGCGACCCCATGGACTGTAGCCCACCAGGCTCCTTTGTCCATGGAATTCTCCAGGTGAGAATACTGGAGTGGATAGCCATTTCTTTCTTCAGGGGATCTTCCTGACTCAGGGACTGAACCCAGGTCTCCTGCATTGGAGGCAGAATCTTTACTGTCTGAACCACCAGGGGAGCCTGATAAAGGGTATGTCTTTATTGCTGATTCACAGATGGGATCTTTTCCTTTTAAAAACCTTTAGTTTATATTCACTCACATTAAACTCTGATTCCAGATGGATGTTTATGAGTATGTTGTCTATATACGTGCCTTAAAGTACTGCTCTGATCTTTTCTTCCCCTCCCAGAAAATGAATTATTTATAATCATTTTCATAAAGAGATAATCAGGTAAAGAGCTTTCTTAAAGGTGGCAAAACTAAAAAGCAAATTAGTTTTATGATTTCAAAGAATTAGCTGACTATTCATTTATTATAATGTTTTCAGACTACTTTAGAACTCTCAAAGGAAGAATAATGGACCAGTACAGAGCTATAAGGTTTCCTTTATGGACAGAGTAGGCCATTTAATCTTGATGGACTCAAATTGTTCTTGATTTTCTGCCATGGTTATCCATCACAGAAATAGTACTTGTGATTAATAGCATTTTTTCCACTAACCAAAGTATTTATAATGTATACCTGGAAGATATTCCAAGATGGAGGATAACATTAAAGTTTAAAAAAGTACAACAACTGAAAAAATCAATCAGTATCAGTTGGGGAGAAAAGCTATAAAGGTGTTTTTAGGAGAGAGAGAGATAAATTTTTAGATTTTCATTAATTTTAAGGAGACTGTGAGAGAAAAAAAAAACTTTAAGTGACTTGATGGGGAATATTTTTTCCCATTTTAGAATGAAAATTATACCAGGAATTTACTTACAAATGTATATGTTCAAAATATGTAGGATATCTGCAAATTAAATAGATCATTATAAATGTTTTATTAGTTAAATAGAACCTCCCACCCCCTTTTATTTTCTGCCATCAAGCTGAACATTCTAGAATGGTGGTGGCAGCAATGTAGGGAAAGTACTACAATTTTAAAAAAACAGTGTCATCCAAAATAGAGTCTAAGTTTTAGTAATTGCAAGGAGTCACATTTCCTCCCATCATATGTAGACCCATGACGTAAAAGCAAAACTGAGAAGGCGAGGGCATGTGCTAAATTGATCCTAAAGTAGATTTGCAAATAGACTGGCTTTGGAGAATATTCTTACAAAAACTGTTAGCCTAGAAAAATTTGTCAGGTGTATATACATGCAAAAGGCTAACCAAAATGACATTATCACTGTATAGAGCATATGTTCATTCATTTGTTAACTCAATTATGCAATTATTTATTCTATCAACAAATATTTATTGAGTTTCAATAGGTAGACGAGCACCAGGGTCAAGCAAATAGGAAATGACCTCTGCCCTCATGGAAGAAAAGAGAACTGGAATTTGTTGAGAGCAAACGATGGCCAGGTGTTCTACCTATCTTTTACCAACCGGATGAGGGGGATCCTTATCACTGCTTCTTCTCTATCTGAGGAAGCTGAGCCTTACAGGGGTTAAGTGGGCTTCTCAAGGTCAGTGAGATAGTAAGTGGCAGAGTCAGACATCCAAACCCAGCTTGTCTCCGAAGTCCACTACACTATGGTGCCTGGAATCTAGCAGGAGAGACAGAAGCATCCACATGCAGCTGTAACACAGATCATGACTTGCTCTGGGAGCACAGAGAAGGGAGCTATTCATTCTGTAGTGTCCAAGTCACCTCTGGGAAGGCTTCAGAGAGAAGCTGTATTTGAGTTGAAACTTGAAGGTAAATGCAGGACAGCATTTTAGGAAGACACACAAAAGTGCACTGCAGGTTGAAGAAACTGTACAGTTCCACAGGGCTGTTTCTCACACTTGTATTCATACCACAGTTTTGAATTTTAGAATCTTTGGCTGATACTTGAACAATGCCGTGGCCATCAATCAATACAATAAAATGAGACTCATGGGCTTTGGAATTAGGATACAGGCTTTGAACTTAGACTCAGCCACTTTCCAGTTGTGGGAACTTTGGAAGATCATTTAAGCCTCATTTGATTAAATGGGAATAGTCATCATGAGGTTATTTTAAGGAAAGTATGAGCTGATGCATATACAGTGCTTAGCTTAGTACACATACCACATGGTATGCACTCACTAAGTTGGGTGTTACGAGTACTGTATCACAATGGTATCTGGGGACATCTATCGTTGTTCAGTTGCCAAGTCATGTCCAGCTCCTCACGACCCCATGGACCGCAGCATGCCAGGCCTCCCTGTCCCTCACCATCTCCTGGAGTTTGTCCAAGTTCACACCCACTGGCCTCCCCCGAGGCTCAGATGGTAAAGAGGATATCTCTAAGAGCATTCAATTAGTACGTGATTCTCTTAACTGTATTGCACCATACTGACTCGGTTCTCCTAAATCCTCACGAGGCGGTTTCAGTAATATTCCCTTTCTGTCCTGCTGGTCTGCTGCTTGGTTAGGCCTCTTCTACGCTCAGCAGATAGAGTCTTGTTTATACTGCACTGCAGAACCCATTTGACTTAATGGACAATTCGGCAGATATCACAGGATAATGTGAATGTTTAGGTTTAGCAAAAATAGATTAATATTTACCCATTTACCATCTCAGCACATAGGGCAAAGGGGACACAGTGTGCCCTAGCCTAGTGGCTGAGAACCAACTGAACAGAGGATGCTGCTTTTGGGGTAGGGGGTGGTGAATAGGGGAAGGAAGGAGAGTGGTAGAAGACAGTCAGGTCATGGTCAGACTGGGAAAGAACTTGAATACCACACTGGAGAGTTTGGTCTACATCATGCAGAAAAGCCAGGGAGAAAAATGAAACCAGATATATAGGCTGAAATATATCATTCCCATCCCCACCCCTGCAATTTCTATGTTGAAGCCCTAACCCTCAGTGTAATTCTATTTGGAAACAGATCTTTTAGAAAGGTGGTTCAAGTTAAATGAGGTCATAACGGTGGGGTCCTAATATAATAGGACTGATGTCCTTCTAAGTTGATGAAGAGACACCAGAGCTCCTGCTACTATGTGAGGATGCACTGAGAAAGTGGCCATCTATTGCAGAAGCCTGGAAATGAGGCTTCATCAGAAACCAACTCTGGAGGCACCCTGATCTCAGGCTTCCAGCTTCCAGAACTGCGAGAAAATAAAATTCTGTTAAGTCACCTGTTCTGTGGTATTTTGTTATGGCAACCCTAGCAGATGAATACAGTAAGAAAGCAGCATAACAGGACTTGGGTTTTAGGAAGATAACTAGTCCAGCATGGAGGATATTACTTGACTGGTCAACTCTATACATTCTTTGAAACGCAGCTCCTTTGGGAAGAGTTCTTGAATCCTTAAGCTTGACTTTGATGTCCTTCAATATGTTCCCATAGTTCTACATGTGTATCTCTATCATAACAATGCATTATTTAATTGGCATTCTCCCCCACCAGATTATAAACCCCTGGAAGTCAGGGAATACATCTTTATATTCCTGGCATCTAGGATAGTACTTGGCATGTGACAGGTTCTCAGTAGATATCTGGGTATTAATTAATTAATAATATAAGAAACTGAGGCAAGGAAATCAGTTCTAAGACTACTAATATAATAGTCCATTTACAGAAAATTCACTTGTAACTCCTCAAATTGTCTTAAATTGTTTGACAAAAAAATGATAAAAATTGGAAATAGTTTGCCTTTAATCTTTTATTTCTAATCTCTTCCAAAAATGAAATTAAAATGTGCTGAAGAAGTAGAATTTTAATGATTTTTGCCTCACTGAAAATTAAGTTCTCTTCCCCCTCATTAAGTCCTGGTATAAATATACAGTATATAGTAGCCCCAGGAGAGAAGAAAATGCTGACTATTTCTAATCACTTAATTTGTTTGGAGGAATCACCAAGAGTCCACAAAGGGAACTAATGTGATCAGCAAACTCAAATGCATTGTTCTGTAATTTATGTAGAATGCCCAATAAGTCTTTTGGAGTTTGCCAATAGATCTGGTGATTAAAGACATTAGGTCAGACAGATCCTCTATCTTTGCTTTTATAGTACAGGAACAGTTACAGGAATGGAATCTCCCCATTAGCCAAACAAAATGTTTCTATAAATCACTGTACTAATTATTGAGTTAAAGTCTGTGCCTGCAACAAGAAAAGACAACAAGGAAGGATGCCAAGAAGAGACATGTTCAGTTGATTTGACAACACCAATGTGTTGAATTGTGGCCTTTACTCAGAATGGTTCTAGATGACTCATTCCTCTGATCATTTAATTTTGACCTATTAAGACAGTCAGTTCATCAAAGAGGCAGATATGACTGAGCGACACAGCACAGCAAGACAGTCAATTCTCTTCACTTTTTCCTGTTCTTACACTATTTCTCTTCTTAAAACTTTGTATATGATTTAGGGCCTTATTGGATGGAAAGTGTGTGCATTTTCCCCCACTTCCCTCTGATTTTATTGTTCTTATACATCCTTGGGCTTTTGCAGAGACTGAGAACTGCCAGAGTTTAATAGAATTTCTTAATCTTCAATTAAAGTTCTAATAAAGGTTCTTTAATGCCCAACCTGATATACCAGAAGCAGAAAATTTCTATATATGTATATTAAAAAAAAGAATATTGGGATGATTTAGAAAATAATGGAGAAGGGCATGGTAATACAGTCCAGTATTCTTGCCTGGAGAACTCCATGAACAGAGGAGTCTGGCGGGCTACAGTCCATGGGGTTGAAAAGAGTCAGACACAACTGAGAGACTAAAACACACAGAAGATAATAATGAAATTTTAATGAAAATCAAATAACTTTCTGAAATATTGGCCTACCTTTTGGAGATACTTTTTTTTCTCCTCAGATTCTTGAATCTTTAGGGTTTCAGCAGTGACATCTCTACTCTCTAAAGAAAACAGTCAAATTCAATCTGAAATAATTTTATCACGATTTTACAATAATGTTGATAAAAATTAAAGGTTAAAAGGTAATACATAGAGTAGGAAGGTAACATAAATATGTACTGTCTTGAAACTTTATGAACCAGATTCATAAATAACTGGAGACTGAATTAATTAGCTCTGACTGCAAGGAACCTTTAATCTCTTTAGAAGAGGAGTACCCTGAGTCCAGAGATAAGAAAGGTCTCTAAACAGAACAAACTTGCAGTATCATATATTACAATTCCTATTCAAAGTGTTACAGGAATTTAGGCATCTTCCTCTGGATAAATGAATTGGTCCCTGAGGCAGGGTCCTGGTATGCTTTCAGAAAGTTATGCCAAAGTATGAAGTTGTATCCTTATACTTGTTATCTATATTTTTTTAATTTTTAAAAAAGTTCTTAGATTTTTTAAAGAATCTAGGAATCAGGATATTGAAAGGCATAAAACTTTGTACTTACTGCTTTCCTCAAGGAAAAAAGGCTGGAAGTAAGTTTTTTTCTCTAAAAAATACAAAAGGGAAGTAAAGAGATTACTGGAAAAACCATATCGTTAAAGGTATTTAAGTTTTTTATACCTATAAAAATTGCAGTTTCCCCATCTTAGGCCTTACAGGTCAGGGAACTTGTTTCCTAATATTGACTCTGCCTTCAACCTTCTCTAGGGCTTTCATGTTTGAACTCAATTATGTAAACGACTGTGTTTCATATCTTTTCAGCCAACATTTGCCCAGACTATTCTACACTATTTAGACAAACAGATGTCATAACCCAGGGGATATTTTCAGATGTGCTTTTAGATATAACAAAGACATCGCTGATCATTTTGGGGTGGAAAAATTGCAGAGACGATATTAAAACTGTTTGTATCGAGGTTTAGATATTTGAATGAAAGGTTCTTTAGAACTAGGTTCAGAAGTTTCTCCTGGGCGGGGCTCTAGTATCTTCCCCGTGGGTTACAGAGGAGCTACTTACCCGGTGCATTGCTCCTGGAAGGACGCGCCACCGGCAGACGCTGGCTGCTACCTCTGGACAGCACCAGCTGAGATTCGTTGGTGGGGTACATTGACGCCCCGATCCAGAACTGCTTGGCCAAGTTGGCATCGCGATCCGAAGAACCGGTGAACACTAGCAATCCTTGGGGAAGAGCTTCACAGGACTCCTCTGGGCTGCTAAGACTGCTGCTGGGCCTCGTTTCCATGGCAACTCAGGACGCTTCTCCAAGCTCCTTTGCCCGTCTCTCAGCCCCGCCCCGCCCTCACTCCGGAAACCCGCCAAGTTGGCAACCGCCACGGCCGGAAGCCCTTGGTTTGCTCGGTAGATGTTGGGGTCTGGCGCGCGCTTGTGGGTCACCTGAATGCCATTTCTGCAGTGATCACAGGCTTCGGGACCTTTCTAAGCCTTGGGGTCCAAATAGAGTCAAAGCATCCACTTTGAGGCGTCTTGTCCTGTTTGAATCAGTGGGGCAGCACTTCAGCTTTTTCATCCTCAGCCTCCTTCCCCCCACCCTCCTTCCTCGTATCCCCGCCAGACCAGTTACCTTTTCCCCAAACGTATCTAAATAAAGCTTTCAGTTCCTTAGTTCCACCGCCCCAAACCCTTTTCCACACCAGATAGCTGTAGCGCAGCACCCTCTATGGGGAGGTTCTGGGCCTGCATTGGTTGATGAAATCAACAGGGCAGCTAACATCATAGCCTATGGTAGCTAGAGGTCGGAACTGGGCTGATAGGTTACCTGTGTGTATAGTTTTTTACACATTAGCCCCCTGAATCTGTTAGGCCAATCTTACGGAAAGAAGCTTGATTTAGATTGTCAGTCCCACTAAAAGCTGCTTTTACGGCACGAGTTGTAAATGGGTAAGTGGGATGAAAAATACACTATGAACATTTTTGTTAATATGTTTCTACAAAAATGTGTACAAATGTTATGTGTGTAGCTTTCCTCGGAGATCTGGTTAATCTAGGAACAATTTAACTCTTTCAGCGATAGGAAAGTTGTAATTACTGTGGGAGGAATTGAGATGGAAATCATAAAACCAATTTAGGAAAGGACATGAACACATTGGTAATAACCACAATTTCATTTCCTTATGGCAATTTATTCTTGCAAGATATTAATACAGTCTCTCACAAAAATATAGTTCAAAAGTTGACAATTACAAATCTATACAATGACAGCTAAGGAAAAAAATTCTACTCTCCAATATATCTGAACATTTTTTTTGGTTCAGAGACTGAAGGAATATTGAAAAATCATATATATATATATATATAACATACATCGTATATTTAGCACCTAAAATGTTGACTTCTCTCTTGGTTAAGCTATTGATAAATAAGCAAAGGGCAATAGCAGCAAATCCCAATCCCCCTCGCCAAGCCCCCCATATTGATATATACATGCAGCTCATTTGGATGAATTCCCAAATCTTTTTACCTGGCCGTGTGGTTAGTGATTGGTATTATTAGCAATCAGCTAACTACACTGCCTAGTAACTAGACTCACAGGAAAAAGGTTTATGTTTATCACAAACTGCGTTTCAGCTTGGTGCTCCATACGTTGTAATAGGCAAAGTACCGGTTCAGTAGTAGCTCACTTGGTGACTTGGTGAATACCCTACTAAATAATGAGAGGATGAGCTGGTTGGATGGCATCACCGACTCGATGGACATGAGTTTGAGAAAGCTCCGGGAGTTGGTGATGGACAGGGAAGCCTGGCGTGCAGCAGTCCATGGGGTCACAAAGAGTCCGACACGACTGAGCGACTGAACTGAAGTACTAAATAATGAAAAACAGGCACAACGAATCACAGCAAACAGCATTAAACGCTACGTGGGGGCTCCACCCAGCAGTTAAGAAGTCTTAAGGCCATTCAACACCACGGATTTCGCTTTGTTTACATGGGATTGCACCGTTTTGCTTCTACTCCTAGAGATGGCTAACAGTTTAACAGTATCTAGAAGTAGCAGCTTGCAGGAGTTTGTAAGGGGGTTACTAGCAAGCTGACAACGTGCTCGGCCAGCAGCGCTAAACGCTGACGCATCGGATCTCGAAACCCTGGGCACTCTTCTCGAACGCTTGGGGTCGGCGGTTAGCCGCCGAGGGTGGCGTCTTCCTCCCGGCAGGGCGGCGGGTGATGCTGTGCCTTGTTTTGATGGCAGTGGAACTAGTGATTGTAAGCATGAGAGTACAATCAGCTAATTACACTGCCTACAAACCGAGCACCGGGCGCCCGCGAGCTCGAAGCTCTCAGACGGTTCGCAGCACCGACGCAGTGTCCCCGAGCAGGCGGCGGGAGGGATCGGGCCCGCCGCGACCCCACATTTCCCCGGGGGCGACACCCGACACTGCCGGGGCGCGAGGCCCAGGACGCGGGTCCCGAGAGGTCGCCTCCGAGCCGCCCCCCAGCGACTCTCGGCCCGTGGGGCTGCGCGGGGCCCCCGCCGGACGTGCCGGGCACACTTGGCGAGGCCGGCGGGCAGCGCTCCAGCGGGAACCTGCCGCCCGCGGGTTCGGCCCCCACCCCAGGCCCAGGTGACTCCCGGGGGCGCCCGGCCGGCTGGCCCCACCTGGACCACCGAGCCCCCGACCCCGCGTCCCCGGCCCGCAGTCTCCCCGCCTCCCGGGGTTCTGCCTCTCAGGTTCCCTTCCTTCCCTTCCTTTTCCCCTCCGCTCGCCTTGGGCCGGCCAGCCCCAGGAAACTTCTCTTCAGTTCTGGGCCCCAACCCTTCGAGCCGGCTCTTTCGACCCCGTGCGCCCCGCCGCTCCGAGTGGCCAAGTGACCGTGGCCGTGGCCGACCAACCGCCCTCGGAACCCCGCGGGTGGAGGGGGCGGGGCGGGCGCGTGGGGGCCGGGTGGGGGAGGGGCGGGTGGGGGCGGGGAGGACGCCGCCTGCCGGGGCGGGGGGCGGGCGCCGGTCGGGACGAGGCCCCGGACCAGGACGCGCGGATCTTGGGAAGTTGTTTTTCCTCATCTATCGGGAGGGACGAGGAGCTCCTTCTCTCCACTCCCCCCCGCCCCCGCCCCCGAGAAACCCCAGGCCCTCCTCCGAGTTTTCAAAACCCATCCCCGTCAGGGAAAACGGCTTGCTGGAGTATCAGCTGGTTGGCTCCAGGTTTCTGAAGAGCGGTTGGCCCGCGTGGCCCGTAAGATGCCTGAGGAGTGCCCGTGAGGTCGCGTCCGCCCTCTTGTGTTCCCGTTGGGTGCTCTCACACTGTCGGAGGGCCATTCCGTGGGGGTGGGAGCCAGGTCTTCTTTTAGTCAAGAGAGGGAGCCGGCCAGCTCGTTAGATCGGAGGGTGGTCCTCTTAAGGTCGAGGCCGAAGTTTCGTACCCTCTAGGTCAGCTTTGGTGGTTTAGTCGCTAGGTCGCGTCCAACTCTTGCGACCCCATGGACAGAGAAGCCTGACAGGCTACAGTCCATGCGATTCTCCAGGCAAAAATACTGGAGTGGGTTGCCATTTCCTTCTCCAGGGCATCTTCCCAACCCAGGAGTCGAGCCCGGGTCAACTTCAGGCAAAACTATGCCTACTTCTGGGACATTGTTTATTTCAATCCCTGCTCTATGTTCAGCCCCTAGGGTCGTTCCACCCTCCCTATGTACAACCTAGATGGTAACACAAAATGAACACACATTATTTACTATACAAGACAGTGCCTAGTAAATGCCCAAGGGGGGCGTAGAAATAGAAGTGAGTGGGGTGGGCCATGAAGGAGAACTATAATCGGTTAGGGAAGTGTCATGGAGGAGGTAGTACTAGAGTAGGTCCTTGAAGCAAGCGTCGTTTTGGACGTTCAGGGTGAGGGCTGTGGAAGAAAGACGGTGTTTTGTGACCAGTTGCATTTTCTTATTCTCCCAGTTCCACATTTGAGGATGTAGATGTGTTTATGTGTGCATTTGGAGTAGATTGAGCGAAGAGGATAGTGAGGATTTCTGGGAGACCTCTACTAATAATTCTTTCCCTTAGTTACTCCTTCCCTTTGTTTTTTTCAGTGCATGAATCAGGAGAGAATAAAGAATATTGTTTGATTACACACTTTCTAGGGCTCAACTGGAAGTAGCCCTCCCTTTGATCTTTATGCACCCAGGATGGAGTACTCATTTGTAACCCAAATATCTTAATTCTAAGTGATTTTCCACAAAGGAAAACTCCCTAGCTATAGGCTGATTCCCTAAACCCAGCAAGTGGTCTCAACAGATGCCACTCAACATGGATAGGCCCAGATGATCTAGATCATTCAACACACTTTCCAAACTCACATTCTTAAAACACCTGAAGAACATCTTCTAAAGGATGAATTTGAGTAAGTTATAGCATTATCTTTGAATATGAAAAACAGTACTTTTTTTTTGTTAAATACATCATTTGCTCTGTGTATACCAAAGTGAAAAGCAAGAAACTAAGGTATAAAATGTACAATACAGAAAATGTTAATTGTAAAAATTAACTTGTTAAATTGCAAAAGGCAGGTTATTTACAACTAACAGTGATTTGTATTCATCATATCTTTGGGAGAGCATGACGTTATTGAATACATTACATAAATGCTTCATAAGCCTTTAACATGTACAGTATACCAAGCCATTATCAGGCAACATGCTGTAATCAGAGTTAGCTAACCTCTAAACTCTCTAGAGATAACTGTAGAGTTCAATTTGTACTTTCTAGTTAAATATACATATATAAATAAAATAGCTTCCATTCCATTAACCATATGCAATCTTATAAGTCTTGGTTAGGACGTGGATACAAAGGCAATTCTTTCAAATTGTTAGTCATTTTTACCCAATACAATATTTAATACCTCTTCCTTATTGATATTTTATGATTATTAGCTGCATCTTACATGTCTTACCTGAGCTGAATTGCTGCCATCCAAGGCAGTGGGTTGCAGGTAGATGCCTTGAAATTTAGATTTTTAAAACTTTTCTTCAAAGATGATAAAAAAGGAGAAAATTCATATGTAAAAGTCATCAATATGCATTGCCTACTGAAATCAAACATTTAAAATGCAGTTTATTTTGTAGGTAGTGCAACTAAAAAAATAACCTAACAATGTGTGTGGGTTAGTTTTGCTTAAAAAAAAAAGAATGCTTGTTCTTAGGGTTGCTGTTGGTTTGGCCTGCAGTTACTAGAGAAACTCCAAGGATCTCATTCCCTTTATGGTTCATGTCTAGACATGCCTGGAGACCAGGGAGA